ATGCCGTCTTTGGGAGATATGTTTCACGGAGCATTGCTTGGCGAGGCATCCTACTATTCAAAATCCTCACTATACAAAAAAAATCATTTTCAAGACGCTCGATGGATGGGGTGAGGAAGGAGAGTAAGACGGTCGAATTCCAAAGAAGGAATCACAATTCAGAGTAAGAAGAGAGAAGAAAGAGTAATTCAGTCATTAAAAATATTGTTTGGCGGGAAATCTTTCTCTGAAACATCGTTTTGTTATTCAATTAAAATTATGAGATCCTCAACCACCACGGGCGAATTCGACTATTTTGCTGACCGCGCGCGAAGCGGGCCTTTGGGGTGCGCAGCGCCCCGGGGCGGATCCCCTTAGTGAGCAATCAAATTTATTCCTATTGTAGTAACTCCGACAGGTGTACGATAGAAAACAAATATTCAGTTTTCAATTAGTACATTTACCACGTGTTTCACCATGCAGCGAAAAGAATCATTCATCATTCATGTATCAAATGACGAGTCATTATATAGTTCTGTATTGGCGTATTTGCCGCTATTGCTCTTGATAAAACTTCCACATGTGAAGAGGTAAGAGCGTGTGATATAGTTAAGATAGTCTCTATTTTCTGCCACTCTCATTGCCTAGGAATTGAAATGAAGGCGAAATGAAGAATTAAAGTTGAAGTCCTACGCTGATGGGCGTAGAAGCGTAGGGATGAGAATGTAAGGGAAATTACTCACAAATTGCAAAAACTGTAGGCCTTATTCGCAATTTAGAATTCGTCATATACGTGACGGCGTAAGTCTGCAAACACATATCTTGCTTGCGGAGTCTGAAAATCTCACGCCAACTGACCGACTGCAGACTGCAATGCGTTTGGCGCAATGCGAGAAGTATTCATGCAGTCTAGTAGGAGCTAACATGGGCTAGACGCCGACCGCACTGTTTGGCGCAATGCGTGAAGTATTCCTAAAGTCTTGCAGGCGCTGATATAAGTTCAACGCCTGCCGCACTGTGTTCGGCGCGATTATTCGAACTCATGTTAGAATAATAGAGCTTGAGAGGCCCATGTTGTGTGTTCGATGCCGTATGAGCATTCCAACGTTGCCTCGTTTCTCCCAATTAAATATTATTCCGAGATGAGCTAGGAATGTTCTTCATACCCACGACCATTATTCAATCTTTTCACTTCGCTTATCATCAGAGGGTAAGACATCAATGACTTGTCAACAAACTAACCTAAACTAGCGTTAACATAAAAATGCGTTTATTACCCAACTGCTTCCTGCTTTGCCAAACTTTTGCCTTAAATTAACTTAATTTTAAATTCACGCATTCTTGTAGCAGATGTTAAGACTTCTATTCTTCTATTTGTCCCCCTTCTGCAGCCTTTCCCCAAATTAAGTTGTTACTTTAGTACCTTATTTGGACATATTTATGCTAAAAGGAAGTATGTATTGCGCGAATCGTATGTGTTGATTGACTTTCCGATTCCGACAGAGTAAAAAATAGAGCGCCTAACTTACATACTTATGTCCCCTTCAAAATTTCACATTAATTTCAGTTGCAAATATTATTCAAACTGAGCTTTTTCTTCTATGCCGAGTTGATTTTGGAAATGTCAAATATGTCCAAAGGGTTCATCGTATTTTCCCGCGCGAACGTGTAATGTTGAGCTGCCTTCCCTTATGCATTTTGCTTCATTGTTGCCAAACTGCCACAGCCATCCAATGACACTCTCCATGTCCTATTTCGTCATTCACAAGGTAAAAATTCGAATTTCACCAGAAGTCTGACGGTTCTGGTAGTACACCCGAGCACCAAACGACAAATCGGGAAACCAGATACCCATTGATCGCGTAGAATCTAGCGTGATGTTTGATGTTTACACCGATCACTAGTAAAAAAAATCGCCCCGCGTGAATTGTCAAGTTTCAAACTGATTTTGGGCTTCTTGAACTTTCGTGTCTGAAAACCTGAGCCTCTTGAATACGACGACGGCAAGGCAACTTTTTCTAAGGTGAACGTGCCCAAGCTTTGTCTTCACGTATCGATTGTCATTCAAATGGACGTATTTCTGCCAAACGGAACTATGTGCACCATGAGGTGAGCCCTGTTATGCACGTATTCTTATGGGTCTCAGGGCTCATGTCTTAATGCACATAATTCCGTTTGGCAGGATACGTCCAAATACAGATCCGCCTTGCTTGCTCATCGGGATATTCTGAGGTTTTCGATCTTCACTCTGTTGAATCCGATACGGTCCGATGATGTTACTCGGAAGAAGGACAGAGGGTCCCTGTCACGTCGGGAGTGTCACTTACGACAAAAATCGGATGGAATGCTAAATATATTTTGAATGGACTTATATAGAGCTACTAAAAGCTCATTTGATCAATATGAGCTTTTTGTGCCGCTAGCGAACATAATTGGACATTTTCATAGTTTGTTGGTTGGTAAATACATTTATTTGTAGGTGCTGTAACAACACATAGGTCATTAACACCTTAGAAAGTAGATATCTACAGAAATGTACAAAACATGTGAAAAGGCGAGGAAAGAATAAATTAAATTTAGAGTTCAGTGAAAAAACAACGTGTGCAAAGTAATTAAAGCAGTGTGTGAAATATTTCATAAAATTTCACGAGGCTATGAGAAATTTCATATTTTTCAGGGACTAGAGTATGCAACCCGCGCTCAAACCTACAAAAATAGAAGAAATTCCCGATGTTCGCACTTTGCGAAACATGAAAAGGAACCGGTATTTTTCAATATCTTCCAGAAATTTGCGAAAGTTCATGAAATATTTCACGGGAAATTTCGAGATTTTATTCTTCATGAAATTTTGCCACCCTGATTCGGCATCGACGCGCTGAAAAAGAAAACTGCAACAAGGTGGTCGATCGTTCGGAGACCTGTGCAGTGGATTTCCTATCGCATGGGGAGGGCCGATAATTCGATCGGAATGAAAGGTAAGCGAGCTGGCTCCGATCAGGATCGAGCGAGGAGGGAACAGCCAGCAGGTTGCAGAGCACAAAGTAGCCAGCTACTTATAACTCACTCCTGTCGGCGGCTCCGCGGGGTGTCGCCAGCCCCATCCTCATTCCCGTCTCATTTTGTCACTCACCTCTTCATCTCACGCTCCCGCAGGCTCAACCCTCTCGATCCGCTCGGAACAAACGCAGAAACAACCTAATGGAGATTTTGCATGTGTGAGGGATTTGCGGTTTGACCATTGACTCTTATGTAAAAGTTCGCGAGAAACACGATGGTGCCACTGGTTATGAATATTTTTCCTTGGCATTTTCAGGAACTTTAGGTGAAATTGCGAACCTAATTATCTGAAAAATTGGAAGAAAAATATTTACAAATTTTCCCGACAATGGAGATGTTGTATGTATGAGGGATTTGCGATTTGACTGTTGATTCTTATGTAAAAGTTCGCGAGAAACACGATGGTGCCACTGGTCTTCTCTGAAATCAACTCCCAAGCTCAAAAAAAGCTCTCGAAGTGAGGCCAAAATGGAGGGGATATCCCATCCTACCCTGAGAGTCCACCTCTACATCAAGACAAACTCTCCATGCAAAGATAGGGAGCAAATACATTAGCAGGATTGCCATGCTTTCAGTTTTGGAGTCCCCAAATAAAGTGGCAGCCCTGCCAATGTATTTGCTCCCTATCTTTTCATGGAGAGTTTGTTTTGATGTAGAGGCGGACTCTCAGGGTAGGGTGGGATATCCCCTCCATTTTGGCCTCAACTTGAGAGCTTTTTTTTGAGCTTGGGAGTTGATTTCAGAGAAAACCAGTGGTACCATCGTGTTTCTCGCCAACTTTTACATAGGAATTAACGGTCAAATCGTAAATTCCTCACACATGCAACATGTCCATTCCATCGTAGATCAATCGGGGGTGGGTGGTTTTATGTAGAGTACCTGTATATACGAGAGAGTATTGCCATCTCTGTGCCGCTCTCTGATTGGTTCATTAGTTTTAGGGTATATCATGGGGATCCAAAGTTGGACCAATGTAAACAAACCCGACTCAGAGAACTCGCATTATCGGCTGAGAAGTGAATGATAATCGCACTCAACGGTTAATTTTTGGCATAAATATCCATCAAAGTTAAAGTCCAAACAATTCAAAAGTAGGATATTAAAAAAATGTCCATCACGTCTAGAACTTTGTAGAACTTTTCCGTCATCTTGTCTGCTTACATTGTGGAGTCAGAGTGACGTTCGAGTGATGTCAGAATGACGTTCGATTGATGTCAGAATGACGTTCGAGTGATCTCAGAATGACGTTCGAGTGAACCCAGAATGATATCACGGTGAAGTCACTGTGATGTTACTATGACGCCCGAGTGATTTCACTGTGACGTCAGAGTGATGTCATACGGTGACATCAGAGTGATGTCATACGGTGACGTCAGAGTGATTTCATACGGTGACGTCAGACTAATATCATAATGATTTGTTCAATGAAGCATTATGTATTGTAACAAAGACACACTCAAGACAGCTTCTTGGCATTATGGCTCTTTTTTACCTGCGGGGTGATTGTTGAAATTTATAGACAAAGCTATAGACAAAGAAGACATAGGGAGTATATAGCAATCTTATTGGTTGAGATGGGTGGTTCTTATAGACTGAGGGAGAGAATGATGGACTAACTAAAACGTCTCTCATGGGTTGCCGATTGTCCATTGCAACCACCCGCTTCCACCAATAGGGTCTCTCCATATCTCTTTTGTCTTCTTTGTCTATAGATTTGTCTATCAGTTTCAATAATCGGCCCGCAGAGATTATAGTACCTAAGTCCTTCCAGTGGTCCATGCACGCTGCGGGACTGTCACGAGTGTCACGATATCTGTATCTTCTGCCTCCCATTGTAATATTTCTATTTCAACATACCAAGTGTTATTACTCGAGTGCTAGCGGCTACCCCTGGGGTGCTGAACTGCTGATCCTCATCGTGGATGACCTTTGAGTGTTTAATGGTCGTGTCCGTTTTGTTGCAGGTCGACGGCGGAGACGCCACAGCTGTACCTGCTGGAGGACACGCCGGAGTGCGGCAAGCTGACGGGGCTAACCCCTGGCCAGGCCAAGCTGTGCGAACTCTACCGGGACCACATGCCCGGGGTGGGCCGGGGCGCCAAGGCCGGCCTGGCCGAGTGCCAGCACCAGTTCAAGAACAGGCGCTGGAACTGCTCCTCGCTCCAGCAGCCGGGTTTCCTCGGCATTCGGGTCGGCATCGGTGAGTCCCGACACCATAGCATCCATCAGTTTTATCTTCGGGAGTAATAAGCATAAAGCATATAGAGTCGTAATCACGGGGAAAAAATTGCTGATTCAACGATTCAATTGCTAAAAACAATGAGTGCAATGTTTCAACGGAGCTTTTACAACAAAAAACAAGCAGTGAACTCCAACACAATGTGTTGATAAGGCGCGTCATTAACTCGCACATATCAACCCCTTTAGTTTTCATTTACAGAGATTTCAAAATAGGCAAACAGCATAAAAAGAGAATTCACGATCCAACACTGCGAGGTCAAAGACGCACCTTGACGAGACCGTGTATTGTGAAAGTAGAAAGCTATTCGATCGAATTTAAGTTTTTTGATCTGCCTCAAGCAAAATCTTATCAGATTCTTGAAGAAAAGTGCTACGGAATAATTTAAGCGAAGAAAGGAAAAATTCTGTCGAACTCCTAGAAGATAAAGTCGATTTAAAGGTATTTTGGGGCTAAAATACCCAAATCACCGGTAGTAAAAATCCCGTTATATTATTGAAAAGAAATTGACTCGATATAAATGCAATTGCATTAAATACGTCTTGATTTTGTTATTTTAAACGTCTTTCCATGCAAAGAAGTTCAACCATGTCGTTGCTTTATTCATTCATGAATTGAAAGTAAGCAATCTACATCCCGAAAATCTACTGATTTGCCGTAAAAAATTGCAGAAACTTGATATACCAGGTCGATGCACCCACTCGTTGAATTTACCAACCAATTTTGTGAGTGCA